AATGCAAGCTCTAGAAAAGAAAAAAACCAAACAGATTAAACTAATGAGAAGTCAACTCAAGGTAATGTACATATATTCACTGAAAAGGCACCTGCTGCAGGGTATCTTGTCGCAAGGTGGGCACTGATGCATCCTTGCATTCAGAAGTAGATTCCATCATGGCCCCAGTGAGGATCAGCACTGAGGCAGGGAAAAAGTAGGCCTGATGTAGCTTTTCAAATTGATGCTGCTTGTGGAGAGGAACAAACAGCTCGTCTCCAACTGAGGGGCTGACTCTCGTCATTTATTCATGGCCAGCCCCCTGCCTGGATGGAAATAAAAATGTTTCAAAGATGACTGTGGGGGGGAGCTGGAGGACAGCTTGGAGGCACACTGAGGTTAGCACATTAATTTTTTATCTCTGGAGACTGGGTATCCAATTATGCTTAGAGTACACAAACAACTTTGGCTGGTCTCTCCAGTAGAGATTTATCCACATCATAAAATCTGTGATGGGACTGAGCACAACAGGCTGATGCCACGGAATGCCGTACGCAGGTGATTTTGCCACTCAGGTGGGCAAGCTAGCAGAGTGACAGGAGGCCACAAGACACCATTCTCATCATCTACGTGTATTGCAGGATGGGCCAACCTGCACACGGCAGCTAGACCAGCAGCAGCCTGCACAATGTGCTTTATTTAGCACTGTCCTTCGCCAAAGTGCTTGTGGGCATCAGATCTGTTCAGTTGCTGTTTACTGCACAGCTGCCTGTAACCACTGTTTCACGCAGCAAAATGCCACTGAAAACTCTTCTCCTTTAAAGGAGAGGAAGTTTTTCTCCATGTAGACACACTATCCTATTCTCCCAGGAATTAAGGGAGAGCATTTATACCAGTATGCACATTCACACACACATTTCAATAGATGAAGTCTAATGTAATTCTTATATCAGAAGTGTCTCAAAATTTGTGAGCACCAGCTGCCCTCAGAGCTGGCCTGTACCCATGGAGTGAGAGGGAATAAAACAGCAGGTGTTTTGTGGCAGGCTTGGATGCACCCTGGGCTCACAAATCTCACGCTCTCGGTGCCAACATGTGGAGGAAAAGCCAGCAGAAAAAAAGGCTGAGAATGGTGTGGAATCATTTCTTTTTATCAGTGGAGTTGGGGAAGGGGGCAGCTGACCTTTTTTGGGGTTTTCTATAACTTCCTTTTCACAGTTCTATATTGAGGTAAAAAAATGAGTGAGTAGGTAAAAAACAAACGTGTGTGTAGGCAGAGGCAAGACTAGGCACTGAGGAAGGGCTGTTTATCTGTGTCAAAGAGCTAGTAGGACATACAAACAAAGAAACTAAAGCTCAAAGCACAGGCTAAGATGTTTTAAGAAAGACAAAGGCCAGAGAAGACTGTTGAACTATCTTCTATGTTGCAAAGGGTAATCTATAGGTGAAGGAGAAGGACAGAAGGAGGGAGAGATGTAAATAAACAAACCTACAACGGTCAAGGACCGCAAGATGTGCCAAGGAGGTGAGAATTGGAGCTTCAGCCAGTCCTGTTCTTTCATACACTTCTATTCAGTGGTTCTTATTTTCAGGTAGTTACCTCCTATCCCTTTTCCAGCCCCTGGACAATCTACTGAACTACCCAAACTGGTCTGTGCATGAGGAGAAGAGTAAAGACAAAGGGGACTGAGTGTGCAGGAAGAGAAGAGGCAGCTGTTGAGCTGGCACCAGCCAGGGCATCGGTAGCTGAATCCTGCAGAAGCCCTGCTCCAGAAAGCTGCCTCCTGCATCATTACAGCCGCTGTTAGGGCAAGAACTGCAAGGAGCGGAGGCTGCAGAGGAGACGTGGGTACAAAGGAAGGAAGTTCATACTGCAGCTGCCCGCCTGAACTTTGCTGACCCAGTGTTCACCTCCCACAGCATGGCAAATTCCAAATGGCTGGTTTGAATTTGCCTTGCCTTTTCTAAATCAGGCTGCTCATATCTCTCTGACACACTGCTAAGCAAATAACCATACCCTGCTCTATACCGTATCTCTGGTCCTCCTGTTCAGTAGGTTGCGGATTAGCTGTTTGGATTAACATCCCCCCCTCCCTTTCCTCCTTCCCCCCCGCCACCCCCCAAGCCCATGCAGAGAGGATTCTTGAAGCCTGAGCCCTGCGACACTGCAGACCTGTCAAATCTAATTCATAACACATGCCTAGCAGTTCTTAGGGGAGAGGAAGGATCTGATGCCCTGGCTCCCCACCATCCCCCTATACAAAGGGACCATTTAATGACTGCACATTAGCAATGTGGACAATTAGCATTCACATGGAAGATAAATGGCAGCATAAATTAAATATAGCCAAGTGAAAGAGCAGAGATGCAAGATCTGAGCTCAGGGCTGTAAACAAACAAACAGGCAAAAAGGAACAAAGAGCCACTGCGACAGCTAAGCCATTTGGGAGAGTTACCTTCCAGCGTCTGGGACTTTCCCCAGGGTGATCTTCACATTCGCATGGCTGTTGCCCGTACCTCACTGGCTCATGGCTGGTTGTTAAGCAGATTCTTTCTGCTCAGGAATCTGGATCTCAGAGTGGTTTACCCCCCTGGCTCTATACTTCCGCTTGCTTGGGGATGTGTGCATCACCAGCTTACCTCTGCCACATGCATCACACAGGAGCTCGGGAGGAACACAAGCCCAAGCAGCTCATGCTCTACCCTTTCCTATAGTGCAGAGCACACCCTTCTTTCCATGGGCCAAGGCCAGCCACTGCTAACCTTTCCACAGCTTTGGTTTTCTCTTCTTGCTAACTTCCAACATTTCCTAACCACTAGAAACATAAGGACTGAGACTGTCCTTGGCCCCTATGACAAACTGAAGGGTAGGTCATTACCCTTCTTTGTTTGGGCATTTGTGCAAGGCCATTATCAATATTAAGTCAATACAGGTTTGCAATCTGCCACTCAGATATGCAACTATTCCTGACTACTGCAGACACAGGGAAAAAAAATTAAACCACAACAGAGATGATGTAAATGGTAAGTAAACAAAAGCTACTGGCTGAACACTGACATTCTCCAGCCTGCCCAAGCCGTTGCTCTTAGTGCATTGACAGCTCAAGTTTATCAACAGCTGGAGGAGTCAAAATTACTTTTGCTGTGAACCTACAAAACATGTGAATGACTAAAAGGTAGAACATAAAAGTGACAGAAACACAGAGACTGCCAAATGGGATCACACTAAACGGTCCTTCAAGCTCAGACAGTGGCTAGTAGCAGATGCTTTGGAGGAAGGAAACCCCCTCCCACACCTCCCTGGGGACAATTATCAATTATCCTGCTTAGAAAGAAACTGTTTTCCTACTTCCATATTTCTTCCAGTTCTTCTTAACGTATTAGAAAGTGTTTGCCTGGGTATTTTTCCCCATAAGCATTTTACTGCTTTGTCCACATTGTTCATTACTTTGAACTAAAACAACACAGTTCACATGGTGATCTAAAAGGACCTTTTGAAAGTGAACAAAGCTATCTACACAAATTCCAAGGTGAAAGCAACCATCATGCAGTATTGCATGCTGGAAAACTGAGAAACAGGGGCTTAGAGACTTGCAAAAATCAGTAATAAACACAGTCTCCTTGACTCTCAGTTCTGTGCCTAAGAGGTGGTGGAAGGACAGTCAGATAGGGCCATCTGGACCATAAGATGTCTTTCAGCCCTGCAACAGTGTGGGGAATCTAAGCACATAACTCTCATCTCCTCTCGTGTTCCAGCTCTCCTCCACCGATCAGCACTGACATTTTTTTCACAGATTTTCCCAAACTGTAACTAATAAGTGAGTTTTGGTAAAGCTGAGGTCAAGCCATTTGGGAAGGAGACTCAGGAACAAGGGGGACAGGTGCCGTGAATTTCACACCTAGAAACAGAGACGTGGATAAAGGCCTCTTATTTACAGGCAAAACAAAGCCAGTCCCCTCACACAGGATGTGTATTTCCTTGGCATCCCTGCTAATAGCCACCGGGAAGCTGCTTGATGATGGGCGGGTTGGGCATCTCTTCTTTTCCTCCCTCTCCTTGCCACCTCCTCCCTACAGGAGCAGTAATGGAAAAGTGACTTGCTGCAGAGATAATGCTGGGTTTGAAATGAATTCCTGACTAGCTGAGCCAGCACCCGTGTGAGCTGTGGCTGATTAGCTCCGAGCATCCAGGCCCCAATCACTCACAACGGAGCCAGGCAATCACGCCACCCTCCCCAAGGCAAAGGCAGGCAACATCCCTGAAAAGGAACTCAAAAGGCAAAGGGAAAACACTACTCACGTTTGTGGTTTTCGTTTCTGTGGACAGGGGAAGAGCTGGTCTCCTGCTCTCGGGCTTCATCGCCCTCTTCGCTGGCAAGGTGGGTGTGAGCATAGTGGTAGCTCAGCCCAGGCCTGTTCTTGTAACGCTTGCCACAGACTGGGGGGAAAGAAGATGGGGGTGGGGGCGAGAGAAACAGAAACTTCAGTGTGATCTGCAACAATGGCAGCATCCTCTCAAACAATGCTCCCTTCTCCCCCGAGAGCAGCACCTCACACTCCACGCTCCTGCCCAAACCTCTTCCAGTCAGCGCTGGTGAGAGGTGACAGAAGGGCAGGACTGCACTTCCCCACCCATCCCCACACAAGCTTTCTTCCCACCAAGCTGCCAGCAGTCCTTCCTACGGGCCTCAGCAAACACACACTCGGTCTCCGCAGCTCGTACAGCCCTAATCCTCTCTGCTGAGATTGCTAACAAGATTGCACATAGAATTAAGTGAAACGCCAGTACCAATGTTGGTGCTGCAGAATGCACAGCAATGGCAACAGCACTGAGAAGAAAGGACACAATTTTCTTCACCACTGATCTCTGAGAAAAGGAAACAGGGGTTTGGATTTTTTTCTTTAAAAAAGGCTTTCTGTGAAAGGGTAATAACTAGCTTTATTCACAGATAAAGTCAAGATATTCTACTGATATTCTCGTCAAGATAAGGAGAAGGAAATAATCCACAGTTCTTTGCCCAGGTAATCTTCATATTCAGCATTCCAATAAATAATACAATCTGTGACAGAGAATCCTCAAAAAAAAACTTTGTTTATTGTAGGACTACGTCAACAGATATTAGGAACAGGATCAAACAATTCAGCGTGGTGAAAGGTCTACAAGGAGCTTACCACAAGGGCAAGCTTCATCATAAGATTCATTTCACTAATTCAGATTCTATGAGGTTTTTAATTCATGTTATTGTCTCTAAATGTTATTTCTTTTCATCTTCAAAGCAGCCTCTGGATGTCCATTTACTTTTATACAGATGTTTCATCTACCAAATACAACTATTGCCATTTTAAAAGATTAGGAAACAAGGGCAAAGAAGCTTAGCACCCTTCCTGCAGAATTTTACTTGTAGGCACATTTTCAGTCACTTTATTAGCTTCATTAACCTCAAGGATTTCACACAGGAATAAATGTCATGCCCAGTAGTCTGCCAGGCATAGCCTGCTTAGGAAGGTGAAGGAAGTGGTGCCAGAAGACAGAACAGAACCCATCAGTCTCTAGTTCTCTGTCTTGTTTTTAGACCCCTTGAAAAACTCTCCAAGGGGGATGTCACCATCCACTCCTTACAGCTACACTCGGCCCCAGTGAAAATGTATCCTGAAATATGTGTAGGTACTTACTTTCCATTCCCCAGACACCTGAGCCTGGGAATGTCATAAGGCTCCAGAGACAAAAAACCAAAAAAGATCCACCCCAATTATTCATTTTCACCTACGTAAAATTTCCATTATTATACTTTTCTGCTACTACTCACAAAAAGCCAATTGATGGTCTACATTCTGGAACAGATGATAGAAAATTGTAAATCAAAGCCTAGTATGGTAACATATTTCTCCATCTCTACTAGCTGATTTGCAACCTCCCTCAAGGAAAATACTTTGCTTTATTAGAAACATGTAAAACCACCTCATGATATGAATTAGTGAACTGGAATATTAGATACTTTCATCCCAGTTTTCTCCATTCAACAAGATGATGATCATACAGTCATCCTAACAAGACAAAAGCCTTTTTTCAAATATAATTTGTCCTTAGCAACAGATTTTTTTCAGTCTTTGAATTCCCTTGATTTGGAACTGACAACTCCTGCAGGAGAGAGGACAGAAAGCTCAGGAGAACTAAAATGCCCAGATACACACATCCATTCTTTGAAGCATCTGTCCTCATTTCATATGTAAACCTAACTCTATTGCCAGACATTTTGAACAATGAGACTGCTGTTAGATGCATGTACTCCAAAAAACGTCACTTCAGTCTGTCTTCTCGTACCAACCATGTATTGGAGAACCTGTGGATGCCTCATCCTTGGCCGTCTTCAAGGCCAGGCTGGATGAGGCTTTGAGCAACCTGGTCTAGTGGAAGGTGTCCCTGCCCATGGCAGGGGGGTTGGAACTAGATGGTCTTTAAGGTCCCTGCCAACCCAAACCATTTTGTGATTCCTTTAATGCATTCTGGAGAGGGAGACTGCTACTCCTGCTCTGCAGCATCAAACAACAAGATGTCCACAGTTCTGTATGGCTCTGTCTTCACTTTTTGAATATTGGAGAAAGTGTAACACAAAAGTAATCATCAAACCCGAGACAGCTACAAAACGCTCCCTGTCTATTTCAGAAAGATAACCCTCTTTAATTAAACAAATGTTACAGCATTGCTTAGAATGGAGAGATAGATTTACATTTCTAGCAGACTATTTGAGTATCATACTAAGTATCCTACTCTATCCCCCTTACTTGTGTGCGTTTGAAGATTAAAAGTTAAAGGATAATTCTTCTGCTGTGAATTACTCATACCACTCAAAAACTTCTGGTTCAATTATTTTCAAAGCACTATCAGATGATCAATGCTCTACTGACAAAGGAGTTGGTACCCAACTCTACCTTCTTATACAGTTTGATCCTGCGTTAATGCTAACCTAGCTGCAAAATCAGCTCTAAAAACCCAGTCCCATTTACCTATGAGAGGGAGTTTTAAATTTAAAATATATATATTTCTAAAAGTTCTACCAGACTTTATTTGACTCAGCTCTACCTGAGGACATACCCACAATTCTAGCCATACTGTTGCTGCCTTACAAAAGTACTATGTCCTTGAATATAGGTCTCGCGCCTTTTTCCCTCAATGCACATAAGGAAACTCGCGTTTCCTGCAGGAAGTCCTAAGGCTGTGATCTTGCCTCCATTCCCCATAGGATCCTGTCGGGATTTTAGCTGCGGGGTTTAGGAAGGCAGAGGAAATCAGATGGGTCTGCAGACTTGTCCCGCTCCAGCAAAAAAGAATCAGCTCACGGGGAAAAAAACTCCGTAAGTATTGATGTAAGCTGAGGCAGTAGCAGTTCTGCAGCTGAGCCCTTCTCACTGCCAAAACTCTGATTTCAGATGGCCTTCAAGGGTGGCAGCAAGCTGAGACATGCCTAGCTAAAAAGAAATTTGGAGGACTTTATAACCAGAGCCGAGGCAGAGTTCTCTTTACACAGTCCCAGCAGATCCTTTGTAGAACCCAAAACTTGCAGTTTCCAGCAGCTTTTTCTCTTGGAGTCTAGACTTTTCCACCTTTCAAATTCATGTTCTGTCATGGAAAAAGCCCAAAGTGATGCCATGAATTGAAACTGCAGAAATTTCTTATTCCCCAAGAGAATTGCACGGGGGGAAAGGGTATCATAGAATCATAGAATGGTTAGGGTTGGAAGGGGCCTTAAAGATCATCTAGTTCCAACCCCCCTGCCATGGGCAGGGACACCTTGCACTAGCCCAGGTTGCTCAAAGCCACATCCAGCCTGGCCTTGAAGACATCCAGGGATGGGGCCTCCACAACATCTCTGGGCAACCTGTTCCAGTGCCTCACCACCCTCTCTGTGAAGAATTTCTTCCTGACATCTAATCTAAACCTCCCTGATTTCAATTTATACCCATTACCCCTTGTCCTATCACTACAGGCTCTTGTAAAAAGTCCTCTCCCAGTACCCTTGTAGGCCCCCTTCAGATACTGGAAAGCTGCGATGAGGTCTCCTCGGAGCCTCATGATACTAGTCGAGCAAAAGAACCACTGGCTTCAGTGAGACTTTGCTAGAATAAAAGCTAAGTCAGAAAGTCATGGTTTCTCCAACAGATTGAATCTTCCCAAGTTCACCCTAATCGCTTATTTTCCAGACAATGCACATTTTATTAACCTACAATATCACTGTGCTAAAAAGTAGTTTCTCTAAAAGGACAATAATTAATAAACACTTAGCTCTTATATAACTCTTCCCACTGCAAGAGTGCCTTTTCAAACATTAATTAATCTTCCTCCACACTCCTGAGTGGGAAATACTATTCTTATTTCACTTCTGAAAAAAGAGACAAGCACAGAGGGGTTAAGTGACTTGCCCACACAGTGATCTTTTGTCATTACTGGGACTGCAATTCAGAGTTCCAGCATCCAGACCACTGCTCACACCACATCTTTCTCATTCTCTGAGCTGACAAAAGCATAATGAGAACTGGTTCTCCCAGTCTGAAATGTATGCTGGTGATTACGTTCTTAACACTATGCAGCTCACACATAGCAGGTGAGAGTGTGCCTTTCATAAACTATGCCGGCTGGCCTTGTCTTTCTTTCAGCAGCTTTGACTTTTTTTATCTTTAATTTTCCTTGCTGGATAGGCTCATCATCCTTGCATGTGGTAGATTTCATCCGGAATCTCAACACTGGCAAGTTGACTTGATCTTTAATTAGGTAGCCAAGCCCAATGAAAACAGCAGGAGTTTGTAGAACGTAACCCACTCCAATTCCTCCTGCATTCAAAGGAATTATTTTGCTATCACCTGATGTGAATGCCATCTTCGGAACAAGATGAGTAAGTAAGCAGTAATACAGCAGTGCTGATCAAACGCCACAAATGGGGAAGAGAGGGAGATTTTATTAGGCCACCGGACACTCTCCTATGATGAAAGCTACTTTCCTTCCAATTTGAAGACTGAAACGAAGATGTTACACAACTATGTTATGGGGGAAAAACATAATTTGCAGACAGTTTAATCACAGGCACTGAGTGTTTCATAAAAGAGAGCTCTGTTCTACATTCTGGCCTGTAACAGCCTGCAACTCTTTGAATAAGCAAATTCTCACTCGGTTTACGTTTCAAAATGAGCAAAATTAATATGAAATACTTCCCCTGCTTTAAAAGAGGATTTGAAAACTATGACTTAAAAGACTCCCTCATCAAATATTTAATGGCTGTGTTGCTGTCATTTTGAAATTGTTACACATTTGGTCCTTGGCAGGCTGTGAGCTATGTTCCAGCCAGCTCTCCACATACATTTTGCACAATCTGTCACCAGTATGAGACAGAAGGAAACAATCCATGTTTTCCGTGGAAACAGGAAATTGGGGGAGTATATGGTGTT